AGGGACTGTTTTACTTTAGAAGTAAAAGCAGGCCTGTTCACCTGCCTCGATGTTTTTTTTTTTTACTGTAACAACAGCTTGAACTCAAATTAACCTCTAGATACAATCAGCAGGGCAAGTATCCTTGAGAAAATATGTGCTTCTATAAGGTCAAGTCTTTAAAGACTAAACAGAGAGATTCTAGCAAAGCACCCCTGGGGGGATCAGACTTGTTTGGAAAAAAATCAAGGTAGGGGCTGCCGACTTCCGAAAGGTCCCTTCAGAGGGCCCCCGACCTTTAGGAGAATCCTCCTTACAGACTTTCCAACCAAGTCCCGTGCTTCCCTACAGACTCTAACATCTGGTAATGCCAACCAGATGGCACAAGTGAATGGCATATTAATAATGACAAGGGAGATTCCGAGGAGTGCTGGCCAGAATAGAGGGTGAGTTAGGGCCTCCCAGGCTAAATTCTTGTTCCGTTAATCCCCAGAGTTGGCTTCTGGCCAGGAGGTTATTTGATCCCAGGAAAAGTCTATGAAATCTCCCTGAAGATAACAATCCCACAAGAAAGTCAGCCACTATGTCTCAGTCCTGGGACTAACAGAAGGGACTCCTTTGAGTAAGGGTAAGATAAGATCATAGAATTGTTCTCAGTAGGTCATTAGGTAGGGGGAGGGGGCTAGCCAGGGTGGGGGCTGATAGACTGGGATCAGCATAAATAGGACAGTGAGGGGTGATGGGCGAATGCCCCTTAAGCTAATCCCCTGGTTCAAAGGGGATTAGCTTAAGGGTCTGGGGGCTTACAGTTCCTGAGGAATTTTTATAAGTTTGAGGCAAGTTGGTCTGAGGCTGATGCTTGGATACAAGCTGATGGGCGGTGGAGTCTGGGGTGCAGGGGCTTCAACTTGGAGGAGTGGACCCAGGATGGATATCCCCGTAGCTTGGCCACTGTCCATGTGGTCTGGAGTCCCTGGCTTCCACTTTCCTGTGCTGTAGGGTGCCTGGATGAATACCCAGTATCCCGGCTCTAGTGGAGGATCAAGGGGAGAATCAGTGGTAGGCCTTGGGAGAACTGGTCGGCAGGTTGCCTAAGGGGTGGCCAGTGAGTTGGAGGGTGAGGAGATGATCTCCCAAAGGGCTAGAGGCATTTGGGATGTTTCTGAGTAGGAAGGATCTGCCGCACATAAGCTCGAAAGGGCTGAGGCTGTGGGGGTGTAAGGGGTTGATGGGATGCCAATGAGGGCTAAGGGAAGTCTCTCAGACCTCCAGAGTTAGCCTAGTGAGGTGTTGTTTTCAGGCTTGAGGATAAGGGATAAACAAGCTCCAGCAGATCTGTGGTGCAGTGGCCACCCCTTGGGTGACTTGAGAGATGAAGGCTGGACCGTGGGCAGGGGAGTGGGCAGGCCAAAGCTGGGAAGGGGATGTTCAGCGAGGCCCTTTACTATCTCTGTAGCCTTTTCTGAGGTGGCGGGAACTCTACCTACCCTGGGCAAGTGAAATATAAAGGTTAGTAGATATTTGAAATGCCTTATGGGGGCATGTGTGTGAAGTTGACCTGTCAGTCTTGACTGGGAACCTGTCCTCTGGCCTGGAAAGTGGGAAAAGATGGGAGTGTCTTGAGGGCCCCCTGGGGGGCAGTCTGGGAGCAAGTGACACATTGGTTATGTTCTTGAGGTGTGTGGCCGGTCACCTGGTGACAAATGATGAGGGGTGTAAGGAATCTGAGGAGGGACCTATAACCTAAGTGGAGGGAGTTGTGAGTTTGGGGTGTCTGTGGTGGTGAGCCAGAAAAACTGCTCCTGCCTGTGTGAGTCTGACATTTCTTCAACCTGCTAGCTGTTTTAGTGATCACCTAGCAAGAAAGATAACAGCCATTGGAAAGCTTTAACAGGGTCACAGGTCCTATAAATCTTTCCCCTCTGAACTCCAATGCTGAAAGCGAAGTGGAAGGAGAGCGCCCATGAAATGCAGAGTTGGTGCGAGTTGGAGAGGACGGCGAGGTAGGGGCAGATCACAAGCCTCAGGAAGGCCAAGTGGGGGGAAGAATAGCAAAAAGTCAAGACGCGGGTGAAGAACCGAGGATGAAGGCGGGCCTTTGAGCTCTGGGTGTGGGGCTGGCGGAGGCGTCTGGGACAGACAAAGGGGGTTATCTTCATAGCCCTCCTCGCAGTGCAGCCCAGCACCTGGGACGCACTGCAGCCTGGACAGGTGTGTTTGCTGAGAAGCACCAGATCGCACAGGGCTTCGAGGGACAACTGAACGGCCGGCTGCGCTGGGCTGAGGGCGACCTCCGCGCAGCAGAGCCGCGCGCAAGGATGGACAGCGCGGGCGGCCAATCGGAACCCGCCCCTCAGCTTCTGCCCCGCCCCTCGCGCCCCACCCCTCACCAGCCCCGCCCCGCCCCGCGGCCGCCTTATCACGTCCTTTTCCCCTTTCGCCCCGCCCTGAAGCCTCCTAGCTCCGCCCCGTCCTGCGGCCTCCTGGCCACGCCCCTTTCCCTTCCCCGTCCCGCGGCCTCCGAACCCCGCCCCTTTCTCCGCTCCGCCCCGCGGCCGCCTAGCCCCGCCCCCTGCTCGCCGTGGCCCATCGCCGCAGGCGCACGCAGCCCCGGGTCTCCCGGAAGTGCGCCCAGAGCTGGCGCCGCGGGCTGAGGTGAGCGCGCAGACTGGGCGGGCCCGGCCGCGATCTCCCGGGATCGGGCCTGGAGCCGCCCGCGTCCGCGCTGGGTCGGCAGGTCCCCGAGAGGGCGGCGGGGCTGGCGGACGCGCGCCGGGCGCCGGCAGTGCGCGCGCGGGGATGCGGCGACGCGGGGACACGGCGACGCGGCGAGCGCGGGGGAGGGGCGGCGGGTCTGAGCGCACTCCCGGCGGCGGTGGTACCCCGGCCCGGCTCTCTGTCCTGGAGCCTGTGGGCCCCTCTGGACCCTCCAGCCACGTGCCTGGACTGGGGTCGAAGACGGGCCCCTGCTTCCTGTCTGCCCCCACAGGCTGGGAATGGATCTCCGCAGAGGGAGCCCGGACGGGCGGATGGCCCAGGCTGCCCGCGGTGCTGGCGGAGCGGAGCGTGGAGGACACTTGGTAGCATTGCGCAGCGCCTTTGGGGCTGGAGCAACCCTGGTCTCCAAGAGGCTAAAAGTCGTTTTTTGACAACCCCAGACCCGCCCCCACGCATTTCCAAACGTTGGCATGTCCTCCCCAAAGCACAGGCATCAGAGCTTCCTCTGCCCCTGGGGGCCTCAGAGGTTCCTAATCTATACACTTTATAATACTTACCGTGCAGGGTAGTCGTGAGGTTAGAAATGACATGAATGGGGCCTAATACGAAGCTGACACATTCCTCACGTCACCTGTTAAAGAAAACGTTACTCCAGATACTTGTTGGAGACGGTAAGGCTGACTTTATTCCTGGGTTACTGCTCAGATGGGCTTTGCAGTAACCGACTGACTACAGTAGGGCACATGGGGGTCAGTGGATGGAAAACTTCTAGAGGGAACATCTGGTTTAAGGAAGGCTTCTCACTAAGCCGATTTAACAGGTGTTTTGGGGAAGGCAGATTAGGGTGAATCGTGTATCAGGAGTGGTCAGCTACCAAGGGTGGAATAGAGACTTCTTTAGATACTCTAATTGGATCAGATACCAAAGCTGGAAGATTTCCCCTAAACTGGACCCAGCAGGATTCTTGATAAAATTGGAATAAAATATCCAAGGACAGAGCCCAAGGGCCCCGCCTAATCAAAAAGAGGACTCAGGTGCTAGCCAGTTTGGCTCAGTGGATAGATAGGGCATTGGCTTGTGGACTGTAGTGTCCTGGGTTCGATTCCTGTCAAGGTCAGGTACCTTGGTTGCAGGCTCTATCCCCGTATTTATTGAGCACATGATATATGTCACTGTAGCACACTGGTTACTGCATGAATATCTAAGTGAAACATATTTACTTTGCTCTTTTTTGTTCTCTTGAGGAAGTTTTTTAAGGATGATTTGGTGATATGGAATGACTTGTTTGGGTTAAGTGGTAGGGATTTTTTGTTGTTGTTGTTGTTATAGATTTTTGTATGTCAAGGCAAAAGCCACTATCAAAAGCTATAGAGTGTTGTACTGATCTCTGATTAAGCCAGATACCCACGTGACTGGGTGTGTATTGATTGTGGTTAGTGTTATGGAGAATGATGTCCTTTAGGTCCTTCATAACATTTAAGGATTGACTGAGTAATCAATCCAGTATTAGGATCACATTCAAGAAAGTTAACTAGATACAGCACTTACTTTGCCGTTTAATATTTCTCCTTTTACCGTCTTTTAAATTTTGATATCATTCACCATAATATTACTCGGTTCAAGTCCTTAGGAATGCTTTCAATGTAGTTAGCATTTATTCTAAAATTTCTTAAAGCCCAAGGTTGAAAATTCCAGGTGGGACAGGTTTTCTTAATAAACTCCCCTGGCACTCAAAAGAGGTCACCTAGAAATTTCATCGCACCTTTTGGGGAAGTACTAATTTGCTCTGTTCAACCTCATCTTTATTATGGAAGCATCTGCTCATCTCAGCGTTAGCCTTTATTTCTAGGGCATTGATGTCCTTGTTCAGCTTCATTTTTCCGAGGGGTGACATGTGGGTGCAGATAGAAGTGCTTTGCAGAAGAGCTGTTTACCGGAAACCTGTAGTGAAGATGCTTCAGGTTGGGCTGGACATTTGAAGAGCGAGAGGGACTCTGGTAAAATGGTCAGGGTGATGGTGACGGTTTAGATAAGTATTAGCGGTTTGCTCTGTGGTTTCATGTTTACAATCTTGCAAAATAAAATAGTGCACTCATCGATTTGGAAAGATCCGTGGTTGACTCCTTGGCTTTTCAGATAGAGCATGTGAATTTGTTCTTTCTGAAAACGTGACCCCTTTCTTCTCTATAGCACTGGATCTCACGCCCTCTCGTGTTCCTGTGCGAGGCTCTGTGAAGACCTGGCCCTCCCCAGAGACAACTTCGTCCCAGAAGAACTTCGCCTAGAAGGACGTGGCAGGCCTGATGATGCCTGTTGAGCAGGGGCAGGCCCCAGTCCTGCTGCCACCGCTGGCAAAGGACTCCCCGATCTCTGGGCCAGATGTTGCCCCTCAAGGGGAGCCCTCCAGCCCTGAGGCTGCCCGCCAGCTTTTCAGGCAGTTCCGTTATCAGGTGATGTCTGGGCCCCAGGAAACCCTGAGACAACTTCGGAAGCTCTGTTTCCAGTGGCTGCAGCCAGAGGTCCACACCAAGGAGCAGATCTTAGAGCTGCTCATGTTGGAGCAGTTCCTGACCATTCTGCCCGGGGAGATTCAGATGTGGGTGCGCAAACAGTGTCCTGGCAGCGGAGAGGAGGCAGCGACCCTGGTGGAAAGCTTGAAGAGAAACCCCCAGAAGCTGTGGCAGTGGGTAAGCGGAGGATACTATGATCTGTTAGTGAATCATGGCTCCTTGGGGCTTTTATCAGGTGTGCTGTCTTTTCCGATAGCAAATATCTAGAATTTTCTACACTAACAACCAGTTCTCCAATTCTCTGATACCAACTGGGTGTCTTACAATTCAATTCAGTTCTGACACTGAATATCAGGGTTACTCAGATCCCACAGGATAAGGGTCAGTCTCAAAGACTGCCCCCATTTCAGACACCAGTTACAAGTCTCAAGGGCCACCCATACTTATTACAAACTGGCTAAAATTTGTAGGTTCCCCAAACACTGTCCTCATATAATTCGCTAGAACGAATCATAGAACTCAGGGAAACACTTTACTTACATTACCAGTTTATTATGAAGGATATGATGCAGGATCAGGCAGTTGGAGGAGATGGGGTCACCCAGAGCTCCCATGCCCTCTCCAGGCCACCAACTTCTGTGTATTCACCAACTTGGAAGCACCTGAACCCCATAGCTTAGGTGTTTTTATGGAGGTTTCATTACTTAGGCATGATTGATTTATGGATGGCCACTAGTGAGTGAACATTTCCAGCCTTTCTCCCCTGCCCCAGAGGTTGGGGGGTTGGGGCTGAAAGTTCTAATCACCTCTGGTGACCAGCCTCCATCCTGAAGCCATCTCGGGGTCCACCAAGAATCACCTCATTAGCAGAAACCCTGGTGTGGTTGAAAAGGGCTCATTATAAATAACAAAAGCTGCTCCTGTCACCCCTGTCCCTCAGGTAATTCCAAGGGTTTTTAGGAGCTCTGTGCCAGGAACCAAGGACAAAAAACAAATATGTATTTCTTATATGCTACATCAGGGTATCCCCGTATCGCACCTAATTCTTAAGATTCCCTGTGACTGAACACTTTTTAGCCAATTAGGGATTGAAGATAAAGCCATCCCATCCCATTCCATCTTTGTCTTTTCTTTTTCTTTAATTCTCACCCAAGAATATTTCCCCACTGATTTTTAGAGGGAGTGGAAGAGAGAGGGAAAGACAGAGAAAAATATTGCTGTGAGAGAAGAGAGAGGGAAAGACAGAGAAAAATATTGCTGTGCAAGAGGCAATCAATTGGTTGCCTCTTGCAGGTGCCCTGACCAGGGCCAGGGCCCAGGAGGAACCTGCAACTGAGGCATGTTCCCTAGACCGGAATCGGACCCAGGACCCTTTGGTCCATAGGCTGACGCTCTATCCAAAGAACCAAACAGGTTAGGGCCCATTCTATCTTTAGACTATCAGTGGTCGGCAAACTGTGGCTCTCGAGCCACATGTGGCTCTTTGGCCCCTTGAGTTTTTAGCAAAGGCCAGCTTAGGAGTACCCTACTACCTATATAGTTTAAGTTTAAAAATTTTGGCTCTCTAAAGAAATTTCAATTGTTATACTGTTGATATTTGGCTCTGTTGACTAATAAGTTTGCCGACCACTGCACTAGAAAGAAAAGCAGTTTTTCTCTTGCCTCTCTCCATGTCCCTAAAGGTTGTCATGGTCTGTTATAGAAGCTTTCAGAAACTCTCCTCTGCATCTTTCAGTAACTAGTCCTCTATCTTCTCCAGATCAGCATCCAGGTTCTAGGACAGGACACCTTACCCAAGCAGGTGGAGTCTGCAGGCTGCCAAGTGGGGGAAGTGGAGTCTCCTCTTGAAGAGTCGTCTCAGGAGCTGGGACTTGGTAATTTACCCTCTGGGCCCGGGGAGTCACTGAGCCAGTTGGTGAAGGAGGGGTCTGAAGCAGTAGAAGAGCTAGTGGGCAGTTATTCAGGTGGTGTGTGTGCATTTTTGGAGAAACATGTGGCCTACTGATGAGTGGGTTAAAACTAATGCTGCCCAGATGGGAGTATCTCTAAAAAGTTCAAAAACAGGATAGTCATACTTCAACCACACTGATTTGGATATTTGAAGCCTGTAACTAATTTAAACACTTTTTGTCTGGGCTAGGCCTTTTGGATTTTGGTTTTGAGGATGGAGGTGGAAGAAAATATGGGTAATATTGTTTGGAAGGTTGGAGGGGGTTGCAGTTTGTTAGGGAGGTCCCTCATGTCTCAAACTATTTGGTTCTCGACCAAGTTGTTCACAGAAAAAATGGCTCAGCTTTGAACAAAAACTTCAGATTTTGGTCTGACAACCCTTTTATGCAGATAGCTCAACATGGCAAAAAGCATCTCAGGCAATAAACAAAGGAGTGATGCTTTTGTTACGGGCAGAAATTGAGGATTAGCAGTTTTAAAATATAAAGAGTCCATCTAGCATGCAAATGTTGCAAAGTGTGTGAAAGTGCTCACAAAACAACAATCACAGGTAAATGAAAAGGCAGAAAATCTCCTTTTGATTGGCTAAACAAAAGCAGTTAGCTGGTGATAGCATTTTTGAGACAGTGATATATGAAAAATTCTTTGTTTACAGCAAGTAGGGTGTAGTTCGATAAATTTAAGAAGTGTGCATTTATAGATTAAACAGTACATTAAACATTCACTGTATATAAGAAAAGTTAAAATAAGGAATCATTTGGGGGTCTGGAACAGATTAATTTACATTATTATTTTTTTTTTAGTATATATTTTTTATTGATTTCAGAGAGGAAGGAATTGGAAAAGAGAGAGATAAAAACATCAGTGATGACAGAATCATTAATTGGCTGCCTCCTGCAGGCCCCATATGGGACTGAGCCCACAATTCTGGCATGTGCCCTAACTGGGAATGGAACCATGATCTTCTGGTTCATAGGTTGACATTCAACCACTGGGCTATGCCGGCTGGGCCAATTTACATTATTTCTAATGGGGGAAAATGATTCAGTTTTCTAACAAACTTTTTTTTTTAAAGTTTTATTTATTTTTAATTAACCTTTAGAGAAAGGAAGGGAGAAGGAGAGAGAAACATCAATGTGAGAGTGAAACATCTATTGGCTGCCTCTTGCATACCCCCCAGGGATCAAGCTGCAACCTGGGCATGTACCCTCACCCAGAATCCAATTGGTGCTCGGAATGATGCCCAACCACCTGAGCCACACCAGCCAGGGCACAAATGGCTTCTTAAGCAGCCTTCTAGAACTAATAAAGTTCGAGAACTGAGTTTCTACTGTACATTCCTGAAGGCATAGATGGTGGAGCAGGTGTCAGTTCTAATTTGCAGATATTTTTACTTGTACCCTCTGGGGACTGATTGAGGACATCGGATTCTTAAGACTTCCTGTTTTTCACTTCGGCAGTGCCTGCTTCCCAGCTTCCTGCTCAGCCTGAGGAGAGACTCATTGGAGACCAGGACTTTGGAACCTCCCTTCTCCACACAGCACCTCAGGTGAGCTGGGCGGCCCTGCCTCTCTCTCCCGGAACCAGGCTTTGAGGGTGTATCAGCCAGGAGGAGTGAAAGGGGGAGGAGTCTCAAAAGTGGAGTAGGAGGAAGGCCTAACAAGGATAACAATAATATCTGTGGAATGAGACCTGAGTTTCTGTTCTTAAGAAGGAATGTTTCCTAATTGTCATCTTGAGTAATGGAATCTGGAAGCAGTTGCTCTGAAGAGGCAATCTTGTGTCTCCTTTTTTTTTTTTTTTTTATTATCTTTGAGTTATGCGGAGAAAATACTAACTCCTTTCCTATTTAAGCCTCTCACGATGAGTCAGTTTGAGATTTTGAATGGTTATAGCTAATGTGGGACAGGTTAGTCTCCCCTGCCCAACTCTATGGAGGAGTAATGGACAAACAATGAACTGCACATGTTTAAAGTGTAGAGTTTGGTAAGGTTTTTGATGAACATACATATATACATTCATATAAAAATGAAGCCGTGATCATAGACAAGATAATAAGCAAATCTGTCACCACCAGAGGTTCCTTTTTCCTCCCTCCTACCCCTCCACATTCCCCCTGTTCTGAGGCAACTACTGATCTGTTTTCTGTTACCATACATTAGTTTGCATTTTCTAGAATTTTGTGTAATAGAATCATGCCACATGTACTCTTATCTTTGTTCTGCATATAATGCGTCTTTCATGCTTGGTTCTTTTAATATTTTTTCACTGGTTTTAAACAATTTGACTGTGATAAGCCTTAGAATAATAATCTTTGTGTTTCTTGTGCTTGGGTTCATTAAACTTTGTGGATTTATAGTTTTCATCAAATTTTGAACATTTTTGGCCATTTAAAAAAATATATTTTTATTGATTTCAGAGAAGAAGGGAGAGGGAGAGGGAGAGGGAGAGAGAGATAAAAACATCAATGATGACTGAGAATCATTGATTGGCTGCTTCCTGCATGCCCGCTACTTGGGATCAAGCCGGAAACCTGAGCATGTAACCTTGACTGGAGCTGAACCTGGGACTCTTCAGTCTGCAGGCTGATGCTCTATCTACTGAATCAAACCAGCTAGGGCCGTGGTCGGCAAACTGCGGCTCGCGAGTCACATACGGCTCTTTGGTCCCTTGAGTGTGGCTCTTCCACAAAATACCATGCCCTAGGCGAGTCTATTTTGAAGAAGTGGCATTAGAAGAAGTTTAAATTAAAAAAATTTGGCTCTCAAAGGAAATTTCAGTCGTTGTCCTGTTGATATTTGGCTCTGTTGACTAATGAGTTTGCCGACCACTGAGCTAGGGCATTGGCCATTATTTCTTTAACTATTTTTTTCTGTCTTCCTTTTTTTCTTCTTTGAGGCCTCTGAGAATTATACACATGTGGCATGTGCTCTCTTTCTTTTCTACTTTCTGTGTTTTATTTTGGATAGTTTCTATTGTAATGTCTTTAAGTCCATTAATCTTTTCTTCTTTAGTGTCTAATATGCTATTAACCCCTTCCATTGTATTTTTTTAAATTTTTAAAAAAATATATATTTTATTTTTTTTACCAGAGAGGAAGAGAGAGGAATAGAGAGTTGGAAACATTGATGAGAGAGAATCACTGATCAGCTGCCTCTTGCACACCCTCCACTGGGGATGTGCCCACAAGCAAGGTACATGCCCTTGACCGGAATCGATCCTGGGATCTTTCAGTCCGCAGGCCAACGCTCTATCCACTGAGCCAAACCAGTTTCGGCTCCATTGTATTTTTAATCTTATGTATTTTTAATCTCAACAAGTTTGAATTGGCACTTTATTGTATCTTCTATGTATATACTTAAAATGCTATGTATATATTTAGAATGTTCAATTTTTCCTCTTTCTTCATGAACATATGGTTCTAACATCTGTACTGATGTCCTTGTCTGCTAATTTTTCACCTGTGTTTGTTCATTATGAGTGGTGCTTTCCTGTTTCTTTGTATGCCCAGTGATCTTTGATCAGATGTTAATCGTTGTGAATTTGACCTTGCTGGGGGCTGGATATTTTTGCAATCCTATAAATGTCTATGAGCTCTGCTCTGGGATACAGTTAGGTTATTTGGACACAGTTTGTTAGGTGGTATCAGAGAAGCTTTTAGTGTAGGGCTAATTTTTCCCCATTACTGAGGCACAATACCCTTCTAGAACGCTACCTGAGCTCCTTGATGGACAGGGTTTCCCACTGCGGTTCTGGAAATACACTTCAAGCTCTGAGGATTGTTCTCTCTGTTGCTTTTATGGGAGGGGTCCCTCTTTTCTGTACTTGAGAGGTCCCTCTGCAGATCTCTGGGGCTCTCCTAGTGCAGCTCCCCCATTCGGGCCCTGTTGATTCTATACTCCTTTGAGCTCCTGCTCAGTTCAGGGAACGACCTGCTCTGTCCGGTTCCCCTCTCTGCTGCTTTGGATGTTCTACAGGCAATAAGTGTGGGCAACTGTGAGGCTCAGCTGATTCATTTCCCACTTTCAGAGGCCTCTGTTCTGCACTAACGTGCACTTGTATAGTTTCTCTCTTTTATCAGTTGTTTCAGACACAAAGGTAAATTCAGTCCCTATTCCATCTTGGCTATAAACAAAAGTCTCTGGGACTGGTTCATCTTGATAATGTAGTTGAAAGTTCTGAAAAGTTGCATTTCCAGGAACCTATACACCTTAATCAAAACATTCATTGTTTCAAACCTTTGGGGAACCCTTGAGATTTGCCTGGTGAAGTAATAACGAGTGCAGGTGAAGGTAGTAAAGCCGGTAGGTGGTGCTTAATGTGGGGCTGGAGATTGGGCCTGAGCTCCAGCTTGCCAGGCTCCATGATGTGGAAATTGGATGTCAGGTTTACAGTTCATCCTGGGAAAGGGATGTGGAGGGTGCAGGGAAGGGACATATCTTTTCAGGTACTCAAGGATGTCTTGTTACTTTCAAGGTACCCAGAAACCAAATTTTTATCCAGGGGAATGCTTGGTTAAAAAAAAAAAAGAAAAAAAAATACACACACACACACACACACACACACACACACACAAACACACACAAACAATTTATTAACACATTTGACTAATAGAATTAAGCATTAACTCTACACAATGACATTAACCATGACTTTTTCAGGATAATTTAATGTCAAAAGATTTAAAATGCTCAGCAGTAGCACCGTGCGTGCGTGCGTGCGTGCGTGTGTGTGTGTGTGTGTGTGTGTGTGTATTAAATTCCTTATATGTAGCAGATAACTGATTAACAACTACTTAACCTAAACAAATAAGTTATTTCTATCCAATCCTAATATCCCTCCCCCAAACAAACAACAGCTATTTGCATCAGAAGGACCTTGATATTTAATGGAATCCTTTGTAAGTGAAAGGGTCTTTTTTTTTTTTTTTTTTTTTCAAAGTATACATATTCTTGATTTTGGAGAGGAAAAGAGAGGGAGAGAGAAACAGAAGCATCAATGATGAAAGAGAATCACTGATTGGCTGCCTGCTGTACACCCCCTATTGGGGATCAAGCCTGCAACCTGGGCATGTGCCCTGACCGGGAATTGAACCATGATCTCCTGGTTCATAGATTGAAGCTCAACCACTAAGCCAAGCTGGCTGGACAGAGCAAGGTTTTTTAAATATAATCACTTTTCCTAATCTCTTTTTAAAAAGATATATATTTTATTGATTTTTACAGAAAGGAAGGGAGAGGGATAGAGAGTTAGAAATATTGATGAAAGAGAAAGAAACATCAATCAGCTGCTTCCTGCGGATGTGCCTGCAACCAAGGTACATGCCCTTGACCGGAATTGAACCTGGGACCCTTTAGTTCGCAGACTGACGCTCTATTCACTGAGCCAAACCTGTTAGGGCCCTAATCTCTTTCATCAATTAGGAACTTAGTGAATAATGCCAGAATAACAAAGTAGTGTCCCTACTCATTAGAAACTGAGTTAGAACCTCACATGCACTTGGGAATACATTTACTCACAGTCCTGTGTTTTAAAATTTTGGGAAAGGAATACAGTACAAAGAACTTTGTGCAAGTCAGTTGTGGTAATGTCTTAACTCACCAGATGGTGCTGTTGCCACATAAAATTGACATTTCTCCATCAAATCTTTTACTCCCACCCTTCCAAAATAGGAATTTAGATTTTTCTTCGTCTTTTAAAAATGAGAAAAAGCAAGGGTGAGTGCAGTTGGTATCTTGCCTCCTTTTCTTTTTTATATCTTCATCCAAGGATATGTTTGTTTGTTTGCTTATTTATTTATTTATTTAGAGAGGGAAGGGTAAACAGGGAGAGAGGGAGCAAAGGTCTGTGTTTTCACTGAAGACTCAGAGCCCTTGTAGTCAGCAATGTTTGTTCAAGTTGGTTATTTTTAGGACCTTGTTAAGGTAGCTTCATTCATAGAAGATTTACAAAGTAAGATGCTAACAATTTCAACTTTAAAAACACTGTCAATAAAAACTTATTTTAAAAATATGGTTCTAGTTAATAATTAAATATATTAAGTCACTATTTACCTTTTCATTTTTTTCACCCTAAAAAAGTCAACTCCTTTCCTCCCTCCCTCTCTCCATCCTTCTCTCCCTCCTGCCCTTTTTTCCTTCCCTCCTTTCCTACTCCCCCACTTAGTACCTGCTAGTTAAAAGAGTTTTTGGTGTTCATTACTTTTCAACCATTTCCACTTCACTTTGATATATATTATTTGTAATAGAAAGATAATGTTATCTTCTCATTCTTCTTTTCTGCTCCCTGTACCCTAGCTGGCTTTTCATGACAATTATCCATGGCTATCAATTGTGGGGTTTCTGAAAGTGATCAGAATCTCTTAATTCTCTCTGCAAACTCTGGGTTTAGTCTGGGAGACTGAGAATCCCATAGATTGCATATGATAACTATATATATAATTTACTGAGGACCTGTTGCTAAGAGCAAACATTTCACTCAGATGATATGTGTTGAGTGACTACTCTGTCCTGGGCAGGGGCTTGGGGACTGGAAGAGAACAGTGGAGTGTCCTTTTCTCATGGTGCTGTGTGCTCGTGGAGCCAACTATTGATTAAATACTTTTATATTTGTGTGTATAGAAAAGATTGGTTATTCTGTCTTATGCATAATGTACATATACATAACTAATAAACTGATAAATGCTATGAATGAAGAGTACAGTGTGCTCAGATGATATTTGCACTATTTCTGTTAAGCATTCCAACAATTTTTGAGTTCAGTACTATCATTAGGTGAGGACTTGAAGCCCAGAAAGATTAAGTCACTTGCTCAAGATCACACAGCTAGGAAGTGGGAAACTGGGACTTGAAACCCTGTATGTTTGACTCCAAAGACTGTGCTGTAAATCACTCTTGCTATACAATCTGTTTCCTTAGAGGGGAGATTGAAATTTGAATTCATGAAAGTAGACCCTACTTACATGGCATTCCCAGTTTTGAGTCTTTAAGTCCATAACATAAAAAAGGCATGTTTTGGGGGTAATTGAAAGGCTCTGTGCTCTAAACAACTCTTCAATTTCCCACTCCCTGGGAGGAAACCTGGTTTGATGTTAGACCCTAAATGTAAGACTGTCAGAAGGCCCAGCTGTGTGTGGCTGCAGCATCTCTCTGCTCTGAAACCACTAGTCTCTCCCTCTGAGGTGTTCAACTTAGTTGACTTCATTGTTGCTTCTTCCCACTTTTTTTTGCTGATTTACACTTGACTTTCCAACAAATACCTTTTATTTTTTCTCTTTTCCCTCTTGAATTTTCAGATATTAATGAAATATTGGGAAAATCAGGCTCTTACTGTTCAAAGACCTCTATGTAGGCAGTGGAAGAGTTAAAGCAAAGGACAGTGTAGAAAGGGCTCCTTGCAGACCTGGGATGGCAGTGGGTAGGGGCAGGCTGGAGGAAATTAAAAGGGGAAAAAAGAGACATGTAATACTTTCAACAATAAAGAATTATTTAAAAAAGAAAAAAGAAAAAAGAAAGGGCTCCTTGCTTTCTATCCTCTACTCTTGAATACAAGCAACTTGAAAATAATGTAGAACTTAAAGCCTGTTTTCTACCCAGAATAAAAAATACTGATATAGGGACTGTAGTTTTCCCTTTGGCTTTTTTCTTGAACTGCCTCCTATGATTTTCTACATATTCTGATGGTAGGCTCCTAAGACACATTGCTTTCTTCTGAGCCTCGATAAGCAGGGAAGGCAGGATCCAGAAACCTTCGATGAATTTACAGCATTGTGTTTTTTCTAGGAGCACTGGAGGCACCTGGATTCCATTCAGAAGGAGCAATACTGGGATCTCATGCTGGAGACCTATGGGAAAATGGTCTCAGGAGGTAAGGGCATGAGTTAGCGGATGAAAGAACATGGAAAGGCTGTTAAGCATTTTCTGTGTACTCTTAGCTCCTTGAGTTCTCTGGGTGAAGACTATCCTAGTGACACCATTGGGAACTGGAGTGAGCTGCAAATAGCAGAGTTATAGTAACAACTTCCTGTTATTAAATATGTTCTGTGTACCAGGAACTATCATGAGTACATAACGTATAGTAACTCCTTGAAATAGGCGATGGTATTCTCATCTTTTTTTTGTTGTTGTTGTTAATCCTCACCTGAGAATATTATAGACAGAATGGAAGGGGGAGAGACAGAGAGAAACATCGATGTGAGAGAGGCACATTGATTGGTTGCTTCTGCATGTGCTCCTTGACCAGGGCCAGGATCAAGTCTGCAACTGAGGTGTGTGCCTTTGACTGGAATCAGACCCAGGATCCTTCAATTCCCGGGCAGACACTATCCACTGAACCAAACCAGCTAGGGCTCTCATTTTTAAGGTGATGAAAGTAGTGACAGATCAAGTCACTTGCTCACTATTATGTAGCTCTTAAGTGCTGAGTTAAGAAGGAACTCAGTTGTGGCTGGCTCTGAGTCTATGCTCTTTAGTACTTAATCACAGTCTCAAACAACTATTGGAGGGGTCTTTGTCATCAGGTGGTCTGACTCTACCAGCCCAGATTCTTCTTGTGGTCTTCACAATTTATCCTGGCTATCTTGTTAATACTGGTGTCTTAGAAGCTCCAAACGAACTTCTAAGATGAGCTACCTTAAGTGGTCTCCAGAGCCTTCCTATTTCCTCTCTCACCTAGGACACTCTTTTGAAAAATAGGAAGTCCCCAGTCCTCCTAGTTCATCGAGGCCCACATGTTTTCTTTCTCTGTCCAGGCATTTCCAGTTCCAAGCCTGGCCTGTCTAATTCAACAGAGCGTGGGGAAGAGCCGACAGGACTGCGCCTGCACGTCAGTGAAAAGATCCTAAAACCCACCTGCATAGGTGAGTTATCTTTCATCGGTCAGAGCCATTCTGGTCTCCTGTCATTAAATTGGAGGTGGCAGAGATATGTTAGGACGTGGGTTTCTATTCCATTAGTTCAGACTAGCCATGATATGGTTAGCCGGGTTTGGATCCAGATGTCAGATATCTTGTATGGGGCTTTTGACACACACAGTTAATCTTGGAAGAAAGAGTACACCTTCAGTCTTATCTGTTATGACAACTGTCTTTCTCAGAGAGAGTTAAGATTAGTACAGATTGAGACCAATAAGTATAATTATAGGTATAATTCTATTTCAAAAAAGAGTATGAAACACTTTTCTTATTCTGGTTATTGTGAATAGTAACCAACTCATCTGTAACAAAATAAATCAAATTAAACTAAACCAACAGAGAACCATGTTTTAGCTAATCTTTTTTTATATAGTCAAAGTGCCGAAAGAACAAGACCATCAGCCAAGAACTCTATCCATCAAAACTACCTTTCAGAAATGAAGGAGAAATTATGGCATTTCCATTTTTTTTTTTTTTTTGAGAGAGACATTACTAGCAAATCAGCCCTACCAGAAATACAAAATGAGTCCTTCAGGATGAAATGAATGGACCCTAGACAGTAACTCAAGTCATGTGAAGAAATAGAGTACCAGTAAAGGTAATTGCCTATCTCTCTATACTAATAAAAGGGTAATATCCTAATTAGACCGCCAATTTCAGGACGTCCTCCTGGACAAAGCTAGAGTGGCAGGGCCAAGGTAGAGTGGTTAGGGGTGATCAGGCTGGCAGGGAGGCAGTTAAGAAGCGATCAGGCCAGCAAGGGAGGACAATTAGGAGTGATCAGGCCAGCAGGAGAGCAGTTAGGGGGCAATCAGGTTGGCAGGGGAGCAGTTAGGGGCATCAGGCCAGCAGGCAGAGGCAGGGCAGTCAGGCAGGCAGGCAGGTGAGTGTTTAGGAGCCAGTGGTCCCAGATTGTGAGAGGGATGTCCAACTGCTGGTCCACAGGGATCCGGCCTAAAGTGGTAGTTGGACATCCCCTAAGGTGTCCCCAATTGGAGAGGGTGCAGGCCGGGCTGAGGGACACCTCTGCATGGAGCTGCTAGTGTGTGTGTGTGTGTGTGTGTGTGTAAGTGACCATTTGTTCAGCCATTCAACCATTCGACCGGTAGCTATGACATGCACTGACCACCAAGGGGCAGACGCTCAATGCACAGGCATGGAAACATGGAACAAACTGATGAATCTCAGAGAAAGGGGGGAGGGGAGAGGACGGGAAGAAATTAACCAAAGATCTAATGTGCATACTAGAGGCCTGGTGCATGGATTTGTGCACTGGTGGGTTCCTCTGCCTGGCCTGCAGGGATCGGGCTGAAACTGGCAGTCTGGCATTCCCTGGGGTTCTGGATTGTGAGAGGGTGCAGGCCAGGCTGAGGGACCCCACCAGTGTATATATAAAAGAATATAAATGAGCCATTTTTTTGTAATCCTCATCTGAAGATATTTTTCCATCAATTTTTAGAGAGAGTGGAAGGAAGAGACAGAGAGAGAGAATTATCTAGGGCCATGGATGGAGCCTTTAACCGAGGTACATGCCCTTGACTGTAATTGAACCTGGGACCTTTCAGTCTGTAGGCCAATACTCTATCCACTGAGCCAAACTGGCTAGGGCTATTTTAGCTTATCTCAATGCAGCTTTCATTAAATAGCACAAAGAAGAAATACAGACTTCTTCTGCCATAAAATAGCAATCCCCCTTTAGCCTTCTCTACATTTTTATGAAATACTGTGGTTATGTGGAATCTTTCTACCTAGACAGACTTATATATACAAAAGATCCCAGAGTCGTGGCAGAAGGAAAGTGTGAAGGATGTGACCCGATGACAAATCATTCTTTCTCCCCAGTGGGGGTCTAATTAATTATTTTTCTTTGCTGATAAACCACAGAGAGAGCAAGCATCAAATGGGGGATATAATTTTAATTTTAAGCAATATATTTATTATTCTACCATTTCTCAAGGATTCCTTGGGAGCAGTATTTTTCAAACTGCATTTCATGACCAATTAGTGTATTGTGAAATCATTTTATAGATTATAGCCATCATTAAAAAAATGAAATAAGTTTAAATGGAAAATATCAGAATACAATGACAAAATACTAGATATCAGGATAGGTAGTGTTTCAGGAAATTTTTGTTCTTAATATATGTACATAAACTATATTTTTGATATAAACATGTTTTTTACTGTGAATAGCAGACAAAAAAGTTTGAAAATACTGCTTTAGAGGTTGTTACAATAGGAATTCTGTTTTACTAGACTATTTTTTAGAGCAGTTTTATGTTAACAGCAAAATGTGAAAGGTACAGAGATTTCCCATGCAGTAGGATTTTATTATATCCCCAGCTTATTCTTTTTCCCCCTTCATCCCATCTGCTGGCATGGCCCATTACGTCTTCCCTGGAACCAGACTGTAGAGAATCTACAAAGCCAGTCTGCCTCAGTAACAGAAACTGATGCCAGTGTGGGTCCCTGAGAGAGAGAAGTGGAAAGGGAGGTTGACGCCAAAACCGGTTTGGCTCAGTGGTAGAGCGTCGGTCTGCGGACTGAAAGGTCCCGGGTTCGATTCCGGTCAGGGGCATATACCTTGGTTGCGGGCACATCCCCAATAGGGGGTGTGCAAGAGGCAGCTGGTCGGTGTTTCTCTCTCATCGACGTTTCTAGCTCTCTATCTCTCTCCCTTCCTCTCTGTAAAAAATCAATAAAATATATATTAAAAAAAAAAAGAAAAAGAAAAAAGGGAGATTGAGGAAGTAGCGGTGTGCAAGCAAGCCTGCGAGGGAACACGTGGAGGAAAGGAACCCGGTGGAGAATTGATGTAGGAGTCCTGATGTGCAGGGATGAGACCCCGGATCATGTGGAAGCAACAATGGAAAGATAGAAAGGACTGGCTCAGTCTATTCGGTCTGGAGGCTACAGTTAGGACTAAGACTGAATGCAGATGTCACAGGAGGGCATGTATGGGCTATTTACTTGACCATATTGAAGAATAGCTCCTGGTTAAAACGGGCTAGCAGAGGGGTAAGCCTCACAAAGCTTACTCATACTGCTAATCAAAATCCCAAGGGATTAAAAACAATGATTTGGAAAATGATCCTTAAAGAGTTATCTGGAATAATACTGCAAGAACAGTAAAAAGTTTTGAAAGATGAATATTTCACCAATATTAGATCTATAAATTTTTTTTTTATACACATGTATTTTATTTTATTTTTTTTGTCTCCATTATTATTTTTTTTTCATATTTTATTGATTTTTTTTTTACATATTTTATTGATTTTTTTTTTTACCCCCCTCCTTCCCTCCCACCCATCCCCTCCCTCCCCAGAGTTTTATGAACATTGGTTGTACTTATATGCATGTATACAAGTCCTTCGTTTGATCAATTATTTCCCCCAGATCTTCCTCCCCTCCCCACTGTAATTTGACAGTCTGCCTGTTGCTTTACTTTCTCTATCTCTGTCTCTTGGTTCATCAGTTCATAAAGAGCTTTATTGTCCACCAATGAGTGAGGTCATGTGGTATTTCTCTTTCATTGATTGGCTTATTTCACTCAGCATGATGTTCTCCAATTCCATCCAGGTTGCTGCAAATGATGAGAATTCCTTCTTTTTTATGGCAGCATAGTATTCCATTGTGTAGATGTACCAAAGTTTTTGGATCCAATCATCTGCTGATGGACACCTAGGCTGTTTCCAAATTCTGGCTATTGTAGATTGTGCTGCTATGAACATAGGGGTGCAAATATCCTTTCTGATTGGTGTTTCTAGTTTCTTGGGGTATATTCCTAGAAGTGGGATTACTGGGTCAAATGGGAGTTCCATTTTCAGTTTTTTGAGGAAACTCCACAGTGGTTGCACCAGTCTGCATTCCCACCAGCAGTGCATGAGGGTTCCTTTTTCTCCACAACCTCGCCAACACTTGTTGTTTGTTAGATCTATAAATATTAAGAGTCATTTAAAATAGGTAAAATCATTAAAATAATGGAATACTGTTGTAAAAATAGATGCACAAATGGAACAGAAAAGGCAGTTTAGGAAAAGAAGGTAGTCTGTATAAGAATCTCACATATGATGAAATTCTCACAGATTCATGGGACAAACTGTCCTTCAGTGAGCAATGTCAGGAAAAACTTTAGGGAAAGGTATTAGTTTAAATTTGATGTATATCATATACCAAAATAAGTTAGGGATGGATGAAAAAGGCACAATGTGAAAATAATAAAGAAAAAAATGAATGAATATTTGACTCATGACTAGATGAGAAAGATTTTTTTCTTTGCTTTTTTTTAAAATTCTTATCCTAGAATATGTTTTTACTGATTTTTAGAAAGAGGAAGGGATATATAAATAGAGGGAGAAACATCTATCAGTTGCCTCTTGCACCCTGACCAGGGATTGAACCCACAGTATGTGCCCCGAGAGGAAACCTAACCGTAACCTTTTGGTATATGGGATGACACTTCAATCAACTGAGCCACCTGACCAGGACAGGATGGGGAAGATTTTTATAAATATAAAAGCAGTGAAAAAAATCATTAAAGAAAAGATTAATAGATTTCAGTATATTTAAAAAGAAAAACCCCACAACTTCTATAAAAATAACCCCAAGCAAAATTAAGGTAACCAGAGTGGTGAAAAATATTTTTTATGAACATGACAGATAAATGATTAATATTCTTAGTATATAGTTAATGCAGGTTGATAAGAAAAAAAAAGATTTTCCCAATAAAAAATGGACAGCAGTCTTGGAGTATGAAAAATAGCTTAAAATGGGAAAAATTCATCTTTTAAAAATTAAAAATTAGAGCAGTGAAAAAAATCATTTTCACTGGTCTAGATGAAGGTATTTAAAAAATATTTAATACTTCAGTATTGAACAGTCCTTCCCTCTGCCCAGCTTCTCAAACCAGAGGGTGGCATGGTTGTTCTGGAAATCAATTCATCAGTGTCATGAGCCTTAATGACAATTTATGTCTGTTGACAAAGTAATTCCACTTCAAGGAATCTTCTTTAAAGTATTGATCAGAAAAGTGGGCAAAAATTTATGAATCAAAATGCTATCCCTGTATTATTTATAGTTGTAAAAACAAACAACAGATTTCCATAGTAGAAGAATTCTTAAATAAAATATGTTTATTATCATGTGATTATAATGTCATCTCCACGATGGACCATTATTCAGCTTTTAAAATGATACTTATAAGGGCTTCTTTAAAGATGAAAGTACCTTTGTTATGAGAAGAATATGTGATAAGGCTTTGTGCATTAACAAGTTTAGGTCTACTTCTCTCACACGTTCCTAGGTCACTAGCAGATAATCTGAAAGACAAGTATAGGAAAGAGAAAGGGAAATAGCTTCATTAGATCTGCAGGAATAAAGTAATTTATAAAAGCTGAAAATAAATTTCATCACTAAAATAAAATATTTATTATATGCACCATTAACTTGTAATGACCAAAAATTTAAGCTATGATGAAAAAAAAATTTCAGCTGTTACATACATGAGTTAACAAAGCACAAGGAATATTGGATTGAAGCATAGATTCACTTTTATGCTACAGCTTCACTGTATGTTAAAACCATAGTAAAATGACACATTATGCATTACATGAATTTCTGTGTTCCCTGAGAAGGGGAGAATCCATGTGAAATTGATAGAGACCACCATTTACAATTTAAATGCTACAAAACCAGATTTAGAACTATATAAACAACATATCAGTTATGTCAGGTGAAAGCATGTACATATATACATATATATTGGTTAAATAAAGACTGGAAGGAAATGTATACTCATTGTTGTTATCTCTGGGTTGTGTGATTGAGGTTGATTTGGTTATCTTCTGTATACTGTTCTCTTCAGATTATTTTTTGAAAATATATTTTTATTGATTTCAGAGAAGAAGGGAGAGGGAGAGAGAGATAGAAACATCAATGATGAGAATCATTGATTGGCTATATGAGAAGAATATGTGATAAGGCTTTGTGCATTAACAAGTTTAGGTCTACTTCTCTCTCCCACTCCTGGGTCACTAGCAGCCCTCTACTGGGGATCAAGTCAGCAACCCAGGCATGTGTCCTTGGCTGGATCAAACCTGGGGTCATTCAGTCTGCAGGCCAATGCTCTATCCACTGAGCCAAAACAGCTAGGGCTCAAATTGTTTTTAGTGATCATATTTATCTTTTACATATCTTAATAATAAAGAGGCAATATGCTAATTAGACCAAACAGCCAAATGACCTTCTGGACATCGTTCTAGACGGCCTTTCAGACAAAGCGGGGGCTCTGAGGGTCTGCAAGGGCCACCCAGGGCTATGAGTGGCTGTGAAGGATGGCCAGGGCGGCGAGGGCTGGATGAGGCTGTGGGGCTGAGAGGGCTGACTGTGGCTGCGAGTGGCCGAGAGGGCCAGCCGAGGCAGCCGGGGCAGCGAGGGTCTAGCTCCTTGCATCGGGCTTCTAGTAATCAGGTAATAGCCAGTCATTTGCACTCTTATATATACTCTTGTTTTTCTGATTCTTAATAATAAATGCATGTAAAATAGAGCTATTATATGACCTAGCAATTCCATTTCTGGGTATTTACCAGTATCTTCAGAAAATGAAAACATTAATTTGAAAAGGTATATGCACCCACCCACGGTCATTGCAGCATTGTTTTCAATAGCCAAGATATAGAAGCAACCTAGGCTTCCATTGACAGATGAAGAAAGAAGAGGTGATGCATGCACACACACAAATGGAATATTACCCCGCCATAAAAAAAGAATGAAATCTTGCTATTTGCAACAACATGAATGGACCTAGAGAGTATTATGCCAAGTGAAATAAGTCAAAGAAAGTCAGATACCATATGATTTCACTTATATACAGAATCTGAAAAACAAAACAAATGAACAAACAAAATGAAACACACAAACTCATAGATACAAATAATAAACTGATGGGTGAGAGAAGGTTTGGGGAAAGTACAAACTTGCGATGATAAGTTTTGGGAATGTAATGCACAGCTAGGGAATAGTCATTAATATTGCAATAGCTATGTATTCACTGATGACCTTTGACATATGGATCAGAAGGTCGGGCATGCCATGCATTGAACTATTTTAAATCTTTTCTTTCAGGAGATAGACAGGAGAATGACAAAGAGAACCTTAACTTGGAAAATCACAGGGACCAGGAGCCTCCGGATGCCCCCTGTCGCACCTCAGAGGAGCCGCCTTCGCAGGCTTCCCAGAGTGGCCTCCTCACTGAAGAGGAGCCAAGCCGCTGTGGAGAAGAAGAAACTCTCCCTCAGGCTCAGGAAAGCCTTCCGGGCGAGCAAGCAGAGGAACAGCTCTCTCCTCAAGAAAAGAATCCTGGGAAGCAGCCAGGCCGTCGTGTGCCTAATCCTCATCCAGGGGAACGGTCCGTGCTGTGTCTTGAGGGGAAGAAAGAGGTCTCCCCTAAAGGGCAGCTGAGAGCCCCCATGGTCCAGAAACTGCCCACCTGCAGGGAGTGTGGGAAAACCTTCTATAGGAACTCTCAGCTTGCTTTTCACCAGAGAACTCACACCAGAGAGAAATACTTCCATTGCCTCACCTGCAGAAAAGGCTTCCGGCGGAGTTCAGACTTCATGAAACATCAGCGAATTCACACGGGAGAGAAGCCTTGTCAATGTGAGTACTGTGGGAAAGGCTTCAGTGACTTCTCCAGATTGCGCCACCACGAGAAAATTCACACAGGAGAGAAACCCTACAAGTGTCCCATCTGCGAGAAGAGCTTTATTCAAAGATCAAACTTTAATAGGCATCAGAGGGTTCACACAGGAGAGAAACCTTACAAATGTTCCTGCTGCGGGAAAAGTTTCAGCTGGAGTTCTAGCCTTGATAAACATCAAAGGACCCACTTAGCAAAGAAGCCCTTTTAGGAGCCATGCACGCTTAGCCCATTTCTGTGTCCTGGCCCGTTTGAAACACATAGCTCCCCAGGAGGAATTAGGTCTCTTAGTGGATATCCCTGCTCTCCTATACCTGGATAAGGAAAAGAGAGTGTCTGCACATGAGTTTGGACTTGGAGACTGTGTCAGCCTGTGGATTGGATCTCATCTCTTTTTGGGAAGAGATGGGAAAAACCTATCACTCGGAGGTTCCATTTTAGAAGTGCTGCCTGGGAGGAGGTTAACTGGATTAGCCACAGTTGCTGTCATGGGAAGCACCTGGGATTGGCCCTGTAGAACCGGAGGCCCTGGAGCAGGCCACTGTTACAGAGGGAGGCATAGAGGACCGGGAGCTCAGTGTGTTTTTTTGTCATATTGGTCTAAAATTAATGTCCTGTTCCTTTTTTAAAATAAACTTAGCAGAATCCTATTTTATTTGTGTCTGAAGTGCCCACTGTGCGTTGACTTTAACTCAAAATGCATTCTCTCATAGAAGACCCTCAGTGGTATATCACCCCACACAAACGCATCAAGTAGCTGGATGTCGGTAGGAAAGTGCTAGCCTGGTGCTCGGGTGTGAGAGTTTGACCTATGCTGGACACTCCTGGTCTCAGGTAAGTCTGTCCCAGTGTCCTCTTTCTGAGCCCACCTCCCACTTGCTTGCACACCTCAAGCTGCCCCCCTTTCTCCTGGATCCCGCTTAGGCTATCGTTTTTGCCAAGAGTTCTGTGCCTTAAAAATGTCTTCATTATTTAACTAGGGGCCCGGTTCATGAAATTTGTGCACTGGGGATGAGGGAGGGTGTCCCTCAGCCTAGCCTGCTTCCCCTCACAGACTGGGAGCCCTCAGGGGATGTCCTACTGACGGCTTAGGCCTGCTCCCCAAATCTAACCAGCTACCTTTCAGTACATGGGCTGACACTCAGCCAACTGAGCCTCACCAGCCAGGGCTAGCTCTTTATGTTTTAAATCAGGAGCTCTCAAAGTGTGGCTCCCAGATCAGCAGCTTTGGCAAGTTGTTACTTACTGAACCATAAATTCTAAAAGATGGGCCTAGCAATCTCTTTGTTAACAAGCCCTCCCAGAGGACTCTGATGCCTGCTTAATCCAGAAAAGTCTCTGCACAATTATTTGGGAGCAGAGATCCTGAAAAGGATACTGGGCCCTCCTAGACTTTTTACCAAAGAAGCCTCGCCATAGAGTTCTTTAAAACACTGAAATTGTGTAACTCCTTGAGCTCCCAGTGAAAAGTCATTCCACAGAGTAAATTCTTGGAAGCTTTATTAGTAAGTGAAGGACTTCTTCTTGGGTCCCTCTTGATGATCTGATGGATAACAGAGATACAGGAAACAGCCTATTCATAGTGTGTTCTTAGCAAATAGTAGGTGTTAGAATGTATTGAATATGTGTGGGTGTATGTGTGGATTATTCTCTATTGTGTTTCCCAAACTTTTGACATATGTGTACCCCTTCTGTAATTTTTGTAACCCTGAGTACCCCTTGTACTCATGAGAACATAGAATTAGGCGCAGCTAAGCACGGTGCAGTGCATATCCCCACCAAACTCCAGTGCAACGCGTACCCCCATCAAACTCTTCTCGCACCCCTGGGGGTACACGTACCACACTTTGGGAAACACTGCAGTGATCAGCAAAATATGGCCCACTGGCTGTTATTGTAAAGAAAACTTGGCTGGACTGTGCCAATCCCATTTGTTTCTGTATTCTCTGTGGCTGCTTTGGGGCTGCAGTGGCAGAGGTGAGTAGTTGCAACCAGACTATATGTCTTGCAAAGCCTAAAATATTTACTATGATCCTTAACAGAAAATGTTTGGTGGCTCCTGGTCCAGAGTAGTGTTTCTCAAACCATAGTGTGCATACAAAGCACCCGGGGAGCTTGTTAAATGCTCACTGATTTAAGGGTGATGCCAGTGATCTCATCTGTGGAGCCAGAGCGCCGAGTGTCCGTGCTCTGCAACAGCGTCAGGGCTCGTGCTCGTGGCTTGTTTCTCTTCGGCTCTTAAGGATCATTTATGAGCCTGCACCTCAAAGCCTGGGCCAGACAAAGCTGGAGAGTAAATCCCTTTATTATGTCAGGAAATGCCTCTCCCCCATCTCCTAGGTCCACACTCTTCCAGCTCACCTTTCCTTTAGACACGTCTCAGGCTCGGCTCTGTGGGGTTAGTTCGGCTTTTTTGGCTACACTCAGCTCTTCTGAAGAGAGCTAAGCCTAGCCCAGAAGAGTCGAGCCCATCTCTCTATTCCTGTAAGTAATCAAATGAAAACATTCCGTAACAGAGCACAAGACTAAAAGAATTGTACAGAACTGTGAGTGCTTATGGTTTCTTGTCTTTCTGTGTGTCTGTGATCACCCTCAGCCACTTGTCCCTCGGGGCAATCTCTAGCCCAGCCTTGTTTTCTCAGTGGCTCTGCCGGAAGCTAAATCTGGAGAAGCAAAGCTACTCCAGCCAGAACCCACTTGGATGGGTTCTCCTTGGTCTTCAGGTTGAAAGTCCATACGTAGGTGGGTCCCCGCTGACATGTCTTGTAGATAGGACAGGAGTAGATGCTGCGGCAATCTTGCTTGTCTGCAGGAATGGCCTTGATGAACATCACAGGCATGGGGGGTGTCAGATCCTTGAGCTTGGCCTCTGTGATGACCCCAGCCTGAGGACAAGAACGTGAGGAAAGCCATGTTAGATCAGACCCGGAGCTTAGCCAGCAGCCTGCTCCCGCAGAAGATACAGGAGATGAGACTGGGAAGGGCTGGCTGCCTCTATGCCTTCCCCTCACAGGTTCTTTCCGCAACCCCAGAGGGATGCATCTGATGCCGCTTTCTGGCCTAAATCACTTTTTGAAGGAGAGTTCCAAAAGCTGACATTTTTCATATACAAATTAATCCCTTTGAATCTACCTGAGTTTTATTTTTTGATTCATTAATTTCATAAGCATATTGAATGTAACTATTTGCCAGATGTCATGCTAGGTGCTGGGGTAAAGATAAATAAGACACAACTATCAGCAAATGCTTTAGATTGTAAGGCTTTGGCTGTCTCCTGTCCTAGTTTCTGATGTGACCTCATCCACCCACTAGAGCATTTTGACTTTTTGAGTAGAGGAAACTATGCTCCATCTTCATCCATGGAATAGGGATCAGAGCTGTTGCTTTTAATCACTCCCCTCCGCTCTGCCAAGCCTGTGCTCTTTGCACCGTCCCTGGTTGCCCTCAAATGGCGTGTCAGCTTCAAGGAAAGATTATCTAGGTCAAACGATTCAGGAACATTACTTTTAGAGAGCATACTTTATGGGAGGTAGTGTGTATTTAACCAGCCCGCAGAGGGTGCCCCGTGGCTCACCCAGGACTTACCTGTGTATCCCAGCGAGCACCTTCCATGAAGAGGCCATGGACATAGGCTCCTTCCCGAGGAGGGCTTCTGAAGTCCTCTCGATTCTTCTTGGTCACGTCACATTGCAGGGCCATCTGGTCCAGTGGCCACTCATTCTTGCGGGCCATGGACTGCATGATGGCGGTCAGGAAGGACTGGGGGTTGAAGAAGCCTGTCAGCCACACCGTGGAGGGCATTGCAAAGTCGCTTACCCAAGCCTCCAGCTCCTTGATTCGGCTGAGGAGGTCCGGAAACCAGACGGCCAGGCCTGCTGTGGAAGGGTAGGCTCGTCTGGCCCAGGGGTCTGGCACGGTGTCTAGGTACAGGTTGTTCTCTAAGTTCTCCATGTCACTGGTCATGGTCAGCTCCCCCTGAAGACAAAGCATGAGAGGAGACAGTGAGGGGGCAGCAGGTCTCTGCAAACAGCCAAACTTAGGGATTTCTGGCTCACGGCCCTCAGAAAGACAGAAGGAGACTCCAGGGGTGGGCGACACAAGGACTGTCCTGTTTAGTACTTGATTTGCAAGATTTATCTCATCCAAGGCTGGTCCTTTAAAACTCTCCCTGCTCTAGTTTCCACTGAGGGAATGAGGGAAGGAGGAGGCAAGGAGGTGGGGAATCTGATCAGCCCTGATCACTTGCCAGGCCTAGGGACTTTACGCGTTCATAAATTTCATGCACTGGACCTCTAGTGCAAAATTATAAAGAAGAACACAGACAGTTTCTCCCAAAGGTAATATTTTGCAAAACTATAAAAACAATATATCAACCAGGATACTGATACTGATACAATCAGGACAATAAAACATTTACATCACCACAAGTATTCCTTGTATAGTCAATCTGCTTTTCTCCTGTCCCATCCTTTCCACAACCCCTAGTGATCACTGTTCTAGTTTCCATTTCTGTGATTTTGTCACTTCAGGAATACTATTTAATTGGAATCATAGAGTTTGAAACCTTTTGGGATTGCCTCTTTTTACTCAGCATAATTCTCTAAAAATTTATCCACATTTTTGCATATACCAAATAGTTTCCTTTTTATTGTGGAGTAGTATTCCATAATATGTATGATAGGCAGAATAATAGCCCTTCCCAGTTTTTCATTCTGTTTTGAGTGTTTATCCCTCTACCAGTATCACACAGTCTTTAATTATCCTAGCTATATACTGTAATGTCTTGAAATTAGGTAAACTACTTTCCCCCCACCTTATTCCTTTTAAAAATTGTTTTCACTCTTCTAGTTCTTTGTTTTTATACATAAATCCTATATAATAAAAGCCTAGGCGGCGTCACACACAATGTCATCACAAGATGGCCACAACAAGATGGCTGTCAGGGGAGGGCAGTGGGGGTGATTGGGCTGTCAGGGGAGCAGTTAGGCGGCAGTCAGGCTGGCAGGGGAGTGCTTAGGGGGTGATCAGGCAGGCAGGCAGGTGAGTGGGAGCCAGCAGTCCCTGATTGTGAGAGGGATGTCCAACTGCCTGACAGTCTGATATCCCCCAAGGGGTCTGAGATTGGAGAGGGTGCAGGCCAGGCTGAGGGACTCCCCCCACCCCACCCCCCCATGCATGAGTTTTGTATACCAGGCCTCTAGTTTTAAAATA